CAGGCATGATTGGAGAAAGTGCTTGAAATCGATGGGGGTCATGTTGAAGTTCATAACTTGTAATTGGTGAATTTGTTTTGGCTAAAACTTTGTCACAATAAATGCTAAACAGACATTTAAATATTGTGAAAATTTTGTTTAGTTTGCTCAAGGAGGAAGATTTTCATATGCAATTAAAATCGTCAGCGATAAGTGGGACACCCTGTACATGCAGTTTATGAAATATTGGACCAATCAGGATGGAGTTACTATTATTCCTACAAAAGTGAATTGGTACAGTTTTTTTTAAACATCATGTGTGAAGTCAGGTTCAGCAAGAATGACTGAAGACAAAATGTTCCTTTCTATTATGAGTTTTGCTCATCAGTCCTGACAAAAAAAATTCAATAAAAGAGAGCTATATAAACCATTACAAAACACTTGTATAAGTCCATGCTGTTTTAGTGCTTCTTTTCCTCTTAATCATATTGTTCCATTCTGAGAGAAATTGTCCTGATGCGTTATAAACTTTGCATAGGTTGTGTCTCTTATCTTCCCTTTAAATTGTTGCTTGCATGATTTGTCTGTTTTCCTTCCACAGGCTTGTTCACAATGCCTATGAAGCTCTGTCCTTTGAACTTGCCCGATTCAAGCTGGTGGCTGAGAAGCAAAGGCAGCATATTCTGGAGAAGATGCAAGATAACAAGAACCTGCTAGCAAGCTGCAGAACAGCAATGCTTGAAGCTGACAGTTTGCGAAAGGTGCACTTTCTCATGTCTGTTCTTTAGTACATTTTTCAAGGCAATTCACCACTATTCTGAGACTTATGAAATTTTTACCTTATAGCAACTATCTCAGGTGAAACTAGAGTTGAGCCAAGTGAAAGATGAGCAAGCAGAAAATCATTTCAAGTTGGAGATGAGTGAAAAGATGAGCAATGAGTATAAGGAAGCATTAAGGCTGGAGAGGGAAACTGTGAACCGGCAGCAGGCAAATATATGGCGTTTGCGTGCACAACTTCGCAGAAGGAAAGGTATGCCTTGGAATCCCTAAGCTTGTCAGGAAACAAAGTCTTTATAAAGAATGTCAAATAGATAGGGATGTAAAGTTACTGGTACTGAAGTGAGCATTACCTAAAGGAAAATTGGCAGTCAATACTGGTATTGACTGGCACCAAACTAATTTACCAGTTATCTAGCAAACATAATGTAAGCCAACTTTTTTGTTATTTCTAAGCTGGAAGTCCCAACATCAACCTCTGTCTCTATTGAAAGCTAAAAGAACATCCCTTGAAGTAGGGAACTCACCTTAATCTCGCATGAAAATTTAATATAAGACCATATATTGAGCCAGTCCAACATACGAGGGGTGTTCGAAAAGTAATAGGAATTTTGAATTTTTTCCCAATCAACATATTTATTCATCATTATTTACACTTAACTTTTCAATATAATCACCCTGGAGTACAATACACTTTTTCCAACGAGAGACTAACTTCTTAAGGCCATCATTAAAGAATTCCTTTGGTGTGCTTTTAGTCCAACGTTCTACCGCATCCTTGACCTCTTGTAGAGAAGAAAAACGCTTGCCTTGAAGTGGTTTCTTCAGTTCCGGGAATAGGTGGCAATCACTTGGAGCCAAATCAGGAGAGTAGGGTGGGTGAGGCAGCAACTCCCATCGCAGATCGGCTATAGCATCAATAGTTCGTCTTGCAGTATGGGGCCTGGCATTGTCTTGCTGCAGTAATGGTCGTGCGTGGAGCTTTCCTGGGCGTTTTTTGATCAGTTGGGTGCGCAAGGGGCCCTTCAGCAAACCAGAATAGTATTCGGCATTTATCGTTTGACCTCTCTGAAGATAGTCTATGAGGATAATGCCTTGACAATCCCAAAAAACGGTCATCATGACCTTGCCAACGGACGGATTTGATCGAGCCTTTATTGGAGGGCCTTCATCAGGGCGCCGCCACTCCATCGATTGGGATTTGGTCTCCGGATTAAAGTATGGCACCCAGGTCTCATCTACAGTAATAATCCGAAGCCAAAAGTTCTCACCGTACCTCTTCGCCAAGTCCACAAGCTGACCACATGTCACTGTACGGTTGAGCTTCTGGTCTGGCCCCAACAGCCGAGGTACCCATCGCGCTGAAACTTTGCTCATGCCCAAATGGTTGTGCAGAATCGAGTGAACAGAGTCGAAACTGATGCATAGGGCCCTGGCAATCTCTCGCACGGTCACTCGCCTGTCCTCCATCACAAGCTCTTCCACGGCTGCCACATTTTCTTCATTAACTGAAGTGGAGGGCCTTCCAGTCCGATGGTCATCATCAAGGCTTTGCCGACCACTCTTGAAGCGGTTAATCCAAAAATAAACTGTGCTTTTTGAGTCAGCAGCATCTCCGAAAACACACTGCAAGCGCTTGACAATATCAACAGTTTTGACTCCTTCCTTCCACAAAAAGAACATTATTGACCTTTGATTTTTCACCGCGTCTTCCATAATAGAAAAATAGCAAGGGACAGCACGGCCTATAACTCGAGAATGGACTGAGTGTATTGAATGGCATTGACAGGTACTAATGCTTACATGTTGGCCTATGTATGGGCTGACTCTTGTTACCTTATGTCTAATCGTTCTTGTTTAATAAATAAATTCCTATTACTTTTCGAACACCCCTCGTATATGGGGTATATATGGCCATATGCAGTGAAACTTGTGGATTCAGCCCCCTCCTATTTGTGGCCAGAAGTCCTTAGTCCCAATTGTTAGCTCCATTGGTTCAATGTTAAAATAACCTGTTTTATCCAGCCACCTGTCTAATGCGGCCAGCGGCCATGGATTTGTAGACCCCCTGTGCTGGCTACTCTTTAATCAGGCCAGAACACAGGATAGAAAAAAGATTGCAGGTTTATTTTCATTCTCTATTTATTTCCATGCCTTTCAGTCAGAATTCGGAGAAAGAGTTATCTCCCTCATCTCCTCCCCTTCCCTAATCCCCATATTGGCCAGTCTCTTAGTTGTCAAGGTCACATCTCCAGTTTCCACAGTGAGAGAACAATCATAAGAGTGTTGACCTCCTGCTTTTTCCTCCATGTTACTTGCTCCCTTTCTTAAAAGGCATGCCTCCCATGCGAAAGCATCATGATTTATCTCTGGAGGACAAATATGTGGTTCAAGCCAGACAGCAAGGGGCTTCCACCAGGGCATTGGCTGCTCACTTCAATTGTGGAAAGCTGCAGATCATTGATCTTCTGAAGAAGAAAGTGGAGGTTGTGAAAGCCTGGGAAGACAACTTTGCCAACAACAGGAAAAGGGTTCATCGGCGCACACCAAATAAAGAGATCAATGAGCGTGTTTACAAGTGATTCTGTGTGGCTAGGATGAAAAATTTGAGCCTTAGTGGGCCAATTGTGCAGGCTGAGGCTCTTTTAGTGGCGAAGGATCTAGCAATTACGACCTTTCACGCCAGCAATGGATTATTGGAGAGTTGGCAGAAACATTATTCCATCAAGTTCAAAGTCATCTGGGGAATCTGCAGATGTGCCCATGGACATAGTAGTATCATGGAAAACAAGGCTTCCTGCTCTTTGGGAAGACTTTGCCCCAGAGGATATTTTTAATCTCAGCGAAATGGGCTTGTTTTATTGTGCACAACCATCAAAGTCTTTGATTCTCTCCTTGGAAAAGGTGAATGACTGGAAACTTTCCAAGGAATGATTGACTGTTTGTGCTTGTGTTAGCATGACTGGTGAAAAAAGGTAACTCTTGGTGATCAGGAAAGCAGCATCCTTGCTGTTTCCAAAACCTTGGCATTCAGAATCTGCCAGTGATGTGGTGAAGCAACAAAAAGGCATGGATGACTAGCGAGATCATGTTGGATTATTTAAAGGCCTGGAATGCAAAGCTCAAGATCCAAGGCAGAAATATTCTTTTGTTTTGGGACAATGTTTCCAGTCATCCAGATATCAGTTTAGAACAGATCACAATCAAGCGATTTCCAACACATACCATTTCCTGCCTTCAGCCTCTCAATGCAGGAATCATAACAGCCCTGAAGTACCACTACTGAAAACATTTGCTCAAAATCCTCATTTCTCTCCTGGATGAATGCGATGAAGCCAGCAATCTCTCCAAGAAGCTTAGCATAGGTGCTGTTTATGGACATTCAGCAGCTTGGAACCCTGTAAGCAGTGAAACTATCCAAAAGTGCTTCAAGATTGTGGTTTTTGGAGTGTGAGCAAAATCATGCTGTCTGCTCCTGAGGACAAGCAGGTCATTGCCTTCCAGTTGGAGGAATTGAACTTGCTCTTGGAGATCTTCCCAGTGACACGAATTCTGCTGACTTCCTGTCACTGGACGATTCCTTGCTAACTTCCAAGTGTTTTGAGCAAGGAGATTGGGAGACCAAAGTTTTGCATTGTTTGCAACCTGCTACTGCTGAGACCCAAACAGGTGGGTGAGGAAGGAGCAGAGGATGGATCTGAGGAACTGATGCATATTTTCCAAGGCCTTGGGGAAGCATTGAATGTCACAGAGAAGCTGAAGTGCTTTTCGGCAGAGAAGGGCGTGCATGAGTCAGTAGAAGCAATTATGATGATTCAAGAATCTCTTCAGGAGCGAATGTGGCTAAAAAACATGCACGCACGTCAAACACAAATTCAAGACTTCTTTGCAAAAATATAATGGTCTCCAAATTTCTCTCTCTGTACATATTGTACATATTGACAAAGTCAGAATTATAGTACCGTTAGAGTAAACAAAGTTCCAAATTCCTGATCACCCAAGAGGAAAAAATTCCCCTCTCAAGAGCAGCCACCTGTCAGAACCAGCCAAATTTTGAAAGTTCCCCTTGTGGCCACATTACGCAGGTTTCACTGTAGTGAAATTCATATATGAACATATGTAAAACATATATGGGGTTTGACACAAGTCACATTAAAAATCATATAAGATTGGAAATATATGACCTCATACATCCCCCCCCCCCTCCCACGCTTTTTTCATCCACGATATGCTCATGTTACCTAGGGATGGTAGGGTCCAGTTTGATATCCCAAGTGGAATTTTCCAGGTGGACGGAAGCTGTATATTCGGACCATTTCCAGCTGCCAAAAAGCTAAAAAATGGTAGATACAGATTGTTTTGCAGCTGAAAATTTACCATTAGAATTTTATACAGAGGACCCTCCAGTTGAAATACAGCTAAATTTACAGTTGAAATTCAGCTGCTTCTGTAGATGGACCTCCAGCAAGAATAGCCAAGAAAAACATTCTCATTCCACCAGTGTATTGCAAATTGGAACAATCTATATATGACTTTACTTTCCAGCTGCTACCCAGCTGGAAAGTATGGGAAAGTAATGGGTCTGAATTTCAAACTGGGGTCCAGCTGGAAATTATAGCTGTTTCCAACTAGGATTTTAAGCTGGGGGGGGTTTCAAAATCAAACTTTTGGCAAATTACTGTAAAGGTTATACATACCTAATATTTCATGTAAAATATAATGTGTGCATTAAAAATTAGTTACAGAGACATCTGACGGTCAATTGTCCTCATGTGTAACAACCTCATGCAGTGGCATATTTTCCAGGGAGGGGGCAGGGGGAGTGCAGCTCCCCCCCCCCCTGGCATCACTGGGACAGGGCTTGGTGCCTCCACTCTGCTGCCCTGTCCCCCAACTCTTCAGCCAAAATACACCACTGACCTCATGCTGTGTTTAACTTAATACAATAAGACTTGTCTATGGATATTTATCACATATCAGACATGATGCCATTTGCCCATCACACTTAATATTGCAATGCAGATAAAATATATTATACACCATACAATTGTTAATATATGAATACGTATATGGTTGTACATGGCAAATATATGATCATACATGACCATATAGGATCATACACCCTGCCATACGTGGAATTTTCACGTGGGTACCCATGACCAATGAAATATGAGGATATAGAAATATTTAATAAACACTGCACTTGGATTGAATTTGAACTCCCCTAAAGGCATGCTTCCATCAATTGCAGGAAGTTCCTTCCACCTTCTCAAGGGCAGTTTTTTGGATCATCTGATGAAGAGGATCCTCTGGAAGTAGTCTATCTCTGTTCTCCTATACTCAAGGGTGGCATAAATTTAATAAAAAATAAAAACAGTTACCACTACTTACTGTTATGGCAAATACAGCTTTCAGTTGCTTTTTGTGCTAAAAATTATTTCTGGCTTTGTCTACTTGGGGTTGACAAATTATAGTGATTATGCCCATCAAATACAGTGATCAGATTAGACATTGCTAGTTATCTGAAATATGAGATTAGTTCCCCTTCCTGTCAAGTAATCTTTTCAACATTGATGCATGTAGCAAAATATCATTACCCTCTCAAATTGCCTCACCATGAAAGCTAAAATCACCCCCACCCCTCAACATTCAGTAAGCTATAAGATTCAAAGATCTTCAAAGATGTAGAGGGGAGCTTTGATGAAGAGCAAAAGGAGATGCTGGAGTATTTCATCAAACTGGTGAAAATTGGGAGAAGAGCTTCAGCTAAAGAGTTTGGAATCCATCAATCCTTGTCTGATATTACAATAACTTTGGACTTTGCCAAAAGTGATTTAAATAATTTTTGGAGCCTGTATGTTGCCCAATACTAAATAGCTGTCAAATCTTATTAGTTGGCATACTCTGGAAACTGCTCAAGGGCATGAAAATGTCCCACATTACCAAAGACCGATTTTATTGCAATTTCCCTCTTGAAAATATGCACAGCACAGAGGCATATTGTCTTACACTAAAGTTAGGTCTATCAAGTTGTGAGGCAAGCTGGTAAAATAATAACTCTGATGATCTGAACTAATAAATGCACCCCAAAGTGCATTTTGTACATTCAGTTAGGGTCTAACCTAACAATAGGTATATTACCTAAATTTGTCAATAGTCTCACCTCTCAGTGGACAAGTATGGCATTCCATGAAGCTTGCCTAAAAGCAAAATTTCAAACTTGATGCTGGATACACAAGGCATAAGATTCAGCATTGGCCATGGATGTGCTACTACTTCCTCAAATGTAGAAAAGATGGACTTTTCTAATGTTTTAATTTTGAAACTGGCTGGTTCAATCTACAGATAAATGAGAACCCCAGAGAGAAACCTTCTTAGGATGGAAGGTCTGTTCATGGACAGCTCTATTTGGAAAAGGATTATGAGTCTCAATTTGGAGTCTTTTAGCATTCTGTTTCTGCTGTGGTTTTTGATAAACTTTGTTCCCCTTCTTAGATGCCCCATATATTTCTATGGGCTCTATCATTAAGATATGAATTAGTAGAGTGCTTGCATGGGTAGGGATGCTGCTACATGGACTTGATTCATTGCTTTTGTTCCTTCACACTGAGCAACATATGCACTAACTAGATGTCTCTTCAGCAACAGTGACAGAAGTGCCAGGGAAGGAGAGTAAGTATAAGTAAATCTATAAACATTGTATTTGTCACAAGGCCCTCTCTAATGTGGCAATCCCCCCAAAAAAGAGTGACCAGTCAAGAAGCAACAGGCTGGATGGATGCTTCCATCTTGTCATCATCACCAACTCCATGAAGCACTGCATTAGACATTGTACATTGAATGGAAAAGGAAACGGAAAGAAACGGAAGAGAGGATTCTTCAATAATACAGAATTTCACATGATCACCACAGGGAATTCCAAGCATTGAGAGAGTTATTTCCACTCAAGCTCAAGGGAGTGCCATATCTTTTTCAGAATGGTCCATTTAAGGTCAGGCTTCTCATGTATATTTTCCACACTGAAGCAGAGAGGCCAAACGTTTACCAGTCACAATCCAAAGAACTGCATCATGACCTAAGATGATGTCTAACTTGAGTGAAGGTGTCTTCCCAATAGAAAATGTTGCTTCATTTTTTTATTGTCTGAATCTAGTTATCACCTTTTGCACCTCCCAATAGGGATAAACCTTCTATGTAGTGGTCTTTGCATTAGAATTGGTATAGAAGTGTTGTCTGTCTATCTCCTGTTTTTACTTCCTTTACAATACTTTGCAATTATATAAAGACTGACAAATTTCATTCAAAGGTGGCATTTGACCACCTGAAGGAGGAATTTTGGAAAGAAATTTGTTAGTTGTGTTGAATAGAGTCTTCCAGCTGTAATATTTTTTTAAATTCTGATTGAAATAATACTCGAAGTACGTTCTGGGGGAAATGTTGAACTGTCTCATCCATTCAAAAAAAAACTTGCTTTCCTGGCTTCACTTTCAGCCCAATTGAACCAGAACAAAAGCAATTGTATTTTAATGTTATGACTCCAAGATCGCCCGAACAGACGAAGGTAGAGCGATTAGGCTAAGCACAACATTAGGGCTATTGTCAATTCAAATTATGCAAACATGTGAGCAACCTCGAAATCAAATAAACCGCCCATGCAAACTAACGTTAAGCCCTAGGCCTTCTATGTTGTGCGACAGCGTTCAGACCTCGTGGCAAGCGTTAGCTTCGCCGAGACTGAAGCCGATGAATAGACCTAAACGTAGCCAAAACATGCGTCATGAAGCAGCGATCACAAGTGAATCACAATCCTTACGTCAGTCGATCACAAACCCCACGTACGATGCGTGCAATTGCGCACCATGCTGTCCGCATTTTTGGAGGACTTCGTTTTTAGCCTGATCTCGCGCATTTTTTGTCGAAAATTCAGTCGTCCTAATGCAGACTCTTTAGTGAACCTCTGCACAGGCCTAAACCAGTCTCAACGATGATTGTCTAATAATTTTTTTTTCTTTAAGTCTAGCATGAAAGAACTAGTCCTCCATCCACTATTTCATTTTGGGCACAACCCTGAGCCCTCCCTGTTTCATGGTTCCAATGGCTCCATGCATGGCACCCGTGGCCCATCCGGATTTGTGTTTGGCGACGTTGGCGACTTCTAGAGGCGGAACCCATTATTTTCTTCATATATGTAATGTTCGATTCACTGATTTATCTGATGATGGGCCTAGCCCGGAATTGCTCGATAAGTTTCCGCCAGGTTGTGGTTTACCAGCAATGAATGAACTTAGACCTAACGTTAGGATAATCTGATGCGCCGATTAGGCTTAACTTGTGAGGTTCAAGGGTCAAGTACTAAGCTCAGTGCATTTATCCATGGATCTGTTGAATCCAGAAGGGGGCAGTCGAGCCGTGCCTTTATAATTGGGTGATCCTCCCTGGAAAAAAAAGCACTTCCTATTCTGCAGTGTGCAATTTCTTGGGGAAGGGAGTTATGGAGTCATTTCCCCCAAATTGATGGTTCAGTCCCCTAATTTAAGAGGAAGTTTCTTTTGAGATGTGCTGATCAGTGAGACTGCAGAGGCAGACCTGGGAGTTCAATTGTTGAATCCTTGAAATTTCATGTACACTTGAAGAGTTACCAGCAAAAGCAGCCATAAAAAAATTGTATATGGAACAAACTAAAACTCCTGCTATGTAACCTACATTATCCATTTCTACAGATTTTGAAACTTATTCCCTGTATGAAATCTCTAAGCCCCATCAAGCCTTGAGGATGTGAATAGGTGTTTATGTCAAGAAAATCAGAGTTTGAACTGAATCCAAATATTAAGGCCTGATTGCTGAAACCTTTCACTAATAGCCCTTCAAGAATACATGGAATCCTCAGGAGGTAAAATAGCTCTTTAGTTTAAAGGCCCTGTTATTTTGTCTAAGTGGGGATTGTACATTATTATGTACTGGAAGCCAATCATTTGTGACTCTGATTGCTTTTGCCAGTAATCCTTCACTTTTCCTCTAGAAGTTCTAAATGTAATACAATTCTGAGTACTTATAGTGTAATTGTCAAAGACAGGACAATACTATTACCCTATTCTGAGGGATTGGTTAGACCAATGCTAAACTATAACTCACTTTATCCATGGTTGTCCTGAATCTGTTATCTCCTTGATTGTCTGTATCTTTTAACCAGGGCAACCACAGATGCCTGCTTATTTCCTGCTAAACTCTTATTCAACTCAATCTAAATTATTGGTTGAAACTTAAAAAAAAGGACATAGAATGGGGATCAAGCAAGCAACATTTATAGTTGGCATCTAAGTC